CCCCCCCCCCCCCCCCCCACGCACACACATCTTTAATGAAAGTGCTGTTTCTACATTGCTTCTTTTTCATTCAACCTTTATGTATACAGGTTAATCCCATTGAGCCTCGTCGACTCATTTACGAGACCTGAAGACCTTTGCAATGAGCAATGTATTTACCTTAATTATGTCATCATGTTCAATGTTCTCTACAAACTAGATTGTAAATATTTATGCCCAGGTTCAAAGATGGTACTAGTTGTAACTATACTCGTTCTAATATCCTAATCCAGTTTTCTGACAAGACTCAACGTGGAGTGTATTTTAGGATACAGTCATAAGTACAAGAAAGTCCCCCTTTTTTATATCCTGATGCATGCTCAATAATCCAGGTAGAAACATCTAACAAAGTTAAGTCAGATCCTCTGGATGGGTTCTTCTTGTTTTTCATTCAACATTTATTTATACAGGTTAGTCTCATTGAGTTGTTGTTGTTGTTGTTGTTGTTGTTGTTGTTGTTGTTGTTGTTGTTGTTGTTGTTGTTGTTGTTGTTGTTGTTGTTGTTGTTGTTGTTGTTGTTGTTGTTGTTGTTGTTGAAGAGCAACATCATCAGGCCAGGACTGTGCAGTTTACACTCCTCTCCAGGTCAGAGGTCACTCTTTCAGGGATGAAGATGTTCACATCCTTGATAGAGAAGAACGTTGGTTTGAGAGAGGAGTAAAGGAGGCCATCTTTGTAAAGAGAAACCATCCATCATTAGACAGGGGTGGAGGCCTCCGGGTTCAACTGTCTCCCTCTTACAATGCTGTTATACCATACCATTTTATTTATAGAGCACTTAAAACAGCGACAAGGCCAACCAAAGTGCTGTACAGACAGAACAACAGACGACACACGAATCAATATACAAAATGAAGTAAATCAAAAATATAGACATAAAATTGATACAGATAATAAATATGATGACAAACGAGTGTGGAGCATACAGGTTCAAAACACAGATCCTCTGGTGTTGAAAGCTGTTGAATAGTAGTGAGTTTTTAAATGGGATTTGAAAACCGAGAGGGGGGGTGCCAGTCTGACAAGCAGAGGTAACTCGTTCCAAAGTCTTGGTCCTACTACAGAGAAGGCCCTGTCACCTCTGCGCTTAAGACGAGTTCCTGGAACTGTGAGGAGCAACTGGTCCGCTGACCTCAGGGAACGTGGTGGGACATACGGCTGTAGCGGATCCAAGAGGTGGGGGCGGAGACTGTTCAGCGATTTGTAGACATACAGGAGTATTATGAACTGGGTTCGAAGGTGAACCGGTAACCAATGCAGTGAGGCCAAAACTGGTGTAATGTGCTCTCTTTTGCCTGTACTGGTTAAAAAAGTTATTGCTAGTGTAGCCCTGTTATGATAAATTTCAGCAGGGCTACACTAGTATCACTCAGCCCCCTGTGAATAGCAAGCGGCCATCAGGGTGATAATGCATCGTTAGGCTGATGGTCCTCCTTGATCATGTCAACAGCTAGTTTTGGTTGTCAGCTGCAAACTGGTTGATCCACGATGAGAAGGTGCTATTTATAAGACTGAGTTTATTGCTGCTCTTCAGACTGAACAAGTCTTTTGGGTAAAAACAGAAACATTTCAACAAGAAGAATTGGTCCAGAGGACCTGACTTAACTTTGTTAGATCCCCCTTTTTTCAGTTTAGGTATTTTATATAGCAGGTTATCATAAAAATGATCTGTTTTTACATTATTTAAATCTAACCATGAGGGTATAAAAACAAGAGATTCCACCGTGTCTGTCAAATGGAAAGGTTGTGTGTGGTTTCCCAAAGATTTAAGAGGTTTAGTTTCAGCCAGGCGTTCCTGATCCATTGTTTTGATTAACTGGTCATCATCAGTGAGAATTCCTCTATTAATGCAGGAGTTTTGGTGCTTTTCATCAAACAGGTGTGTGTTAACACAATGCCAAGGTGGAAAGACGTCAGCTGTGGTCTTCGAGAAGCAATAATACTGCTCATCAATCTAAAATAGGGGAAAGATAATTTCTAAACCATTTAGAGTCCATCATTCCAGAGTAATAAATAGTATTTACAAGTAGAAAACATTTAATGAGTTTAATAATTTTTTTTTTTAAGTAAACATTTAATAATTATTTATGGGGCTGAGATGGGGTAGAGGCAGGGCAGCCAACTTGAGACCCAAAAGTCCCAGGTTCAACTCCCAGCCATTCCCTGTCATGGTGTCTCTGAGCAAGACACCTAATCCCTAATTGCTCCCCAGGCGCTTACATAGCTTCCCACTGCTCCACCTGGTGTGTCTCACATGTGATGGGTTAAATGCAGAGACTAATTTCTTCATTTTATGGAAACATACAAATTTGACAACAAACAGCACTTATACTTAAGATAGATGCACATCTCCTTAGGAGTGGATATCCCAATAAATTAACTGTACAATGCTCAGAGAAATGACAGAAAACCAACTAAAGAGCTCCATGTCGGGTTTTTCAGGTTTCGGCAGGTTCGTGACGGGGCAAAAATAAAAGACTGAACCTGTAGATTCTTTTAGAAGACGTTCTCTTTAAAAACATGTCGGCACACGTTTAGTTTGCAGAGTTGCGTCTGAATGAATCACAAGTTTTCTGAAATGGTTTTTGGACCGACGAGACCAAATTTGAGGTATTTACCCACAATGCACAGCAGTTTGAAAGAAACCAAAAACCTTCATATCAGCACAAACACCTCATCCCAACACGGTGGTGGAGGGCTGATGGTTTGGGCTTGTTGTGCAGCACCTTGCAATGCAGGTTGTTGCTGCTAAAGGTGGTTCTGTAAGCTGATGAGTCTTGGGTGGGCCTGTTGGCGTTGACACACACCTGTATGCTTCACACCAACAAACGACTAACGCCACTTTTCCTCTTAAATCGTGTGTAAGCAGAAAATATGGACTTAGTTTTTCCACACAGCCTTGTCGTTTTTGTTGATGAGTACCGACACGGTGCGTGAACCTAGTAAATACCAGAACAATGTTTGTTCCCATGACTGTAGACATATTTTGGGTGTTATGAAGATGTTTATTTGTTGTTTCTTCTTTTTATCGTTTCAGTTATCATGGCCGTAAGCGAACCCACCCTGATGAAGGGTGGATCGATTGGCCGATGCTTCAAGAAGGTTGGAAACGCAAAGAGGTCATTCGACGTTCAGGATCAAGCATCGGCCAGAAAGACGTGTATTACCTCGGGTAAAACATTATGGTTGTATATAAAATAAACGTTTTTCAATTTTGTTTAAATACTAGTATATAGTTTACATTAAGTTGATAGTTTTTTTAAACTAATTTCAAAACGAACAATTCATGTTTCTTTTGACTAAAGACAAAACGTGTTGTCTTATTTTTTTTTATCGCAGTAAAGTTTCTTGATATAACTGAAATCTGGAAAGTTGTGAACAGCATTTAAAAAAAAAAAAAAGCATTTATTTATAATTAGCGTTGAACTTGTTAAAAACAGTAGCCAGCAGCTTCAGTCTTAAATGAAGTAATTTCAAATCCTTTTTAATTTGTTCTTCTTCCAGCCCGCGAGGTGAACGAGTGAGAAGCAAAGTCGAACTGACCACCGTGTTCCAGGGACTGCTCGACCTGACTAAATTTGACTACAAGTCGGGCAAGTTTTTCAACAGAGAATCCGCCCCCGTAAGAGTTCGAAATAGAGTAAAGGTACTTCCACTTTTCACCCAAAGCTCCAGACCACAGCAGACACACATTTCCCCTGTTACACCACAGCATTTTATTTTAAACATCATGTTTGTGTACAGATGGACAGCGATGTAAATGATTCTAACAGCTGAAGCTAAATGTCCCATCTTCACTGGAATAGTAGTAAAAACATAAATGCACAAAAACTCGAACTACTGAATAAAATAACTTTTAAAGTGGTGTTTTGAATTGTTTGGCGAACGTAAAACTGTCAACTAGAAGCGCACGGAGAGTGCACACCTTGGTAAAGAGGGTCACTCGAGCACGAACATCTTGAGCACAGACACAAGAAGCCTTTAAAAAAATCACCGATCTGGACGGTGATTAAGATCACCACCAAAATGTAGCCGTTTATTCTTTGTGACAACCTCCACATTTCCTGAAAATGTCATGAAAATACGGTCATAACTTTTTGAGTAACACTGGACACACACACATGCACACACACACACACACACACACACACACACACACACACACACACAC